GCCTCTTCCTCCCGTTAATGTATATATATACACGTACACGCGTGTGTGTATGTGTTTGGCATCGATTTTGCGTTGACACAGTTTTTTTTTTTTTTTTTTTTTTAGCCATCGTGAACCTTTTGTTCTTTCGATCTGTCGCGTCGGTGATGAGTTACGTTGTATCTGGGCTATTTGGACGTTTCGTGCCTGCAGAGATGATTTATCGCTGCGTGCGAGAGGTCGATTAGCGACTCGATGCGGCTTTGGAATTTTTTTTTTTTTTTTTCCAAACTTCTGATGGCAAGTTACGTGTACAGGTATGTACAAAGGAAACTGCAATCGACACCCGTGGCAAGCAAGACGTGAAAAAATAGCGCAGCAGAGGCGCGTAAGAAACAAGTACTTTACCGATCAATATAGCCGATGATCGGCACGTGTACCAATATACCCACGCGTTTTCGCGGAGTGTTGGAGTCCTCGGTATACGTAATATGGTTGTTTTTTGTCGCTGGGCTTGTCTCTAATTTCTAATCTCTGCAGCCGATTTCGCGCAGTACAGATAAAGATCGGCTCTTATACCCACGAGGGTAAATAAGTACCGGTATAAAAGTGCTCGAAGGTCGAAAAACAAGACAAAGATGGCGAAACGAGTACAGCGAAAGTCAAAAACTTCCGGGAGGAATGAAAGCGAAGTTAAGTGTGTGTCTCATCGGTATAGGTCGGGAGAGTTTCCAAGGATCGGGGAGCGACGAAAAGTGTAGGTTGTATATTTTTTTTTTTTTTTGCGAGCGACTTTCTAAATTTCATTAAAGGGGAAATTCCATTGTTCGGCACTGCTGAAAGAAACCCGCGAACGCAAGGACAATGCGAGTAAGAGAGAGAATTTTTTTCGCTGGAGTAAAGAGAGAAAAGAACTGCAGATTTTGAAAATCCTCTTGTTTTTAAAAAAGGGGAAAAAAAAAAAAAAAAGCAACTAATCAAGACATAACATCTACATTTTACACGTGTAGCCACAAGCACAGCCAACAAACGGATGAAGAGATACGGATTGAGGCGCGTCGAGTCAAATTAACTGGTGCAAATTAATCTTGTCGGCTCAAATAGCATTTTTCAACGATTACCCGAGAACAAATTTACATCTATGATACATCATGAATTCAGCACGCGTAATGACAGTGGGCGCGCGCGCTCCTTTTGCGACAATAATCCGCCTAACGCGCGAATCGAGAAATCTTTATGCATTTACATACATACATACATATGCGAGTGTATATATGTAACGTATGTACGTATCCGTGCATAAATTTACGATAATGACGCGGCGCGGTTGCAACTGCAGGCTCCTTGGTTCTGTCTATGATATATTACGAGTATATTATAAAATGAAAAACATCATCATTTATCCCAACGAATGATTGCGGATCGAAAGAAGCTGATGCCTGCACGGCGAACAAAGCGTGTCGGGTGGAGGGAGGAAATTTTAGTTTGCCGATCGGACTACCCCCGTAGAGTTTAATTGCCTCGAAAAATTCCAAATGCACTTTTGCACTCCCGAAAGAGAGCCCCTCTGCTGGCTCCATCGCAAAACGTGCAGAGCATAGCAGGGAGGAAAAGAGAAAGAGGGAGGCCAAAGGAGGTGGAACTAGAAATAAATCTTCCGCCGAGGGGCATATAATATATATATACATCGTTATTGCACGGCTCTCGGGAGAGAAGGAGGCGGTGGGATGCACATGCACGTGCCTTCTCTCTTCTATATATATACATGTATATAGAAGGTACAGTGTGTGTGTGGCGCGCGTGCATAGTCAGGGCCGCGGTGACCTTACCGAGAAAGAGCTAGTCCACATCTATACACGTGTAATGTATACATAACTGCAATGCGCACCCCCACAACTATTACGCACCGGCTTCCCGGCTTTGTTCCACCTCCACCGCCTCTTTATACCGGCAGCGTTTATACGTATATATAGTATACATACACAATACAATGACATACTTACTACGTATCGTGTAGTAGTATGTGTACATATATATATATATACATACGTACGTGTGATTGATACGTAATGGTAAATCATCGTATTATAGAGTAGGTGCATTGCAGCAGAGAGCGCGTCCTTCGCGTTGCATATGCTGCTGTGCACCAGTGTGTTGGTGCATGCGCGCCCAGAAGCCGGTGGGTGGCGCGCGGCAAGGGGTAGGGACACGTGCCGGGCGACCGAGAACGCGGTGCACTGACGTCACTCGGTATATACTATGGAGTACATAATATGTATATGTGTATACCGGTGTCACACGTATGCGACACGTTATTGCAACTGCATGCATTGCAGTATAGTGTGCCCTGCGCGCAGCGTGTGTTACCGTATATGTGTGCATATATGTAGGTATGCGCGTGCCACCGGCTCCGTGTGTACTAATATACCATTATACTATATAAGACATATACCTATACACACATGTACATGTACCGGTAGTACCTACATAGGCATATATGTTTTATCTCTGCACACGCGCCACGAGCCACCCCCTCCTCCTCCTCACCGCCCCCTCTATATGTGGCTATCTCTCTCTCTCGTACCTCTTTGACTCTCGTCTAGTATAGCTATAATAGCAAACTATCTATCGTCAGCGGGATACTATTGCATGTATATATAAGCGCGAGAGGCTATTAATCGCGATAGCAGCAGCACCGCGCGGTCTTTCTTCTTCTTCTTCTTCTCCCTTCATTTATTTGCAGCGATGCCTCCGTTGTTTGCGTTATAAGTATAGGTATTTCAATGCAATAACGCAACTGCTGGTGCTGAACCCATAATATGCATTAATACTGTTTACAGGGTATACGAGCTTTTAGGTTTGAGTGGTATAAGTGTGTCTGCATGTGTTGTAACATATATATATATATATATATATATATAAATAGCCTTGCATGGATACACGGAGCTTTTCTCGCTCCTCATCTTTTCCGGGTTAGCTGTGTGCTGGTGGTGGCGCAGTAGCTTTTCTTTGTTCGCTGCTGCTATATAACTGATATCATATAAATGGCGCACAATGTGTATATATACGTGTATGCACGTTCCATCGTCGAGGTCACCCGGCGATCTTTCGATCGATCTTTACTTCACTTGTATTACGTGGTGTATACGTGTACATAACTGCGATAGGGTGACGCTTTCTTGTGTCGCTGTTTGCTTTTTCTTTGGTTTTATTCATAAAAATAAATTTATTTTCAAACTCAGCTCTTTTTCCTGTTTCCATCGTTTTCACGTTGCAAACAAATCTATGCACGGGAAAGCGCGAGGGATCATATAAAACTAAAGAAAAAAATCTTTGTTTAGTGACAGAAAAAAAAAAAAAAAAAAAACGTCACTATTTTTCAAAAGTACGAGATAAACAGCCAAATGATTGATGTTTGGTGTTTCACCAAAGTCATAACGAACGAAGCGCGAGATTACCTTTACTTATTTGTGCGTTTTTGTATTGAAGACATTTAAGGACGCGCGCAGGGACGAGTGTGCAAAACAGTAATTTTTCAATGTAAGGGGATATGCAAAACTGATGGCCGTCCAGCGTATATTTGTACGCGTGGGGAGAAAAAAAAATCCGATAGCGCGCAGGGATGCGTGTACATTAATTTAATCTATTGTGTGACGTTTACGCGAGTAAATTAATAACTCTGCGTTTGTGAATATGACGCGAGCCTTGCAAGTTGCACGCGCGAAGGAGTGTATGTAGCCATGGAAAAAAAAAAAAAAAAAAAAAAGAGTCGGAGCAACAATGCACCTCACGCGGCAAGGTCAGCCTCTTCTTTTCTCTCTCTCTCTCTTTTATACACAGCTACATCTAATGCACTTGGAAAACCATTAGAGATTGGAGAGACAAAGAAACTCCGATGCTTCTGTAAGTCTATATGCGTGCATGTGTTTGAATGCATGAAGGTGAAATTGCCGGTGATGAAAAATGCTGCGGTGTATTATCTCGCCCACGAAAAATATGAACAAAGGAGAAATCGCTGCATATGTAAATAATACCATACCGATATCTGCGACATTACATTTGTTTCTCGATTTTCCCTGGATTAATTTTTGTTCCTCTCTTCCTCCTACGTAATATATTGATTCACTTTGGCCGAGGACTCGCTCTTGTCAATAATATATTATATCGTGCCGGCCGGTAAAACACAATAAATATATAACATTTGATGGAGGAGATCAAAGTTATCACATTACAGATAGAAAAATGACACGTATACAGATCGGCAAACAAATTATATGATATACTTTAGAAAGCGCTGAGTACGCGATCAATAGTGAAAAGTTCAAAAAATGAGTATATATAGGAATATTGTTTTTCGCAGAGAATGTCGTACTTTCGAGCGGCACTCACGTCATATCAGAGCCGTGCAGCATCGACGGAGTACATGACACATAGGAAGTGGATTTTCACAGTAATGAAAAGATTGCGACCTTGGACGAAGGTCTACTGCACATTGAAAGAGAGCAGTTGCTCCTCGGGTGACGATATTATTGCGTTTTTATTCGCTTGCGTGTGTATATGCTACGTGTTTGTGGGCATACCGATTTTGTAACCCGATGTTTTCCAGCTCTGCGCCTTGTGACGATGAGCCTTCGTACAAAGATACGATGTACTTACGCGCCGTTTTCCTTGCTTTATTTCGTAATTTGCGTGTGTGTGAGTGCCGATGCCAAGAGCTGCCGGGCACCACCACATTTGGCACGAGAGGAGAGGAAAAAAAAAAGAAGAAGAAGAATATAACGAAACGCGAGCGCGAAATTGTTTTGCTTGGCGGGGGAAAAAAAAAGGGAAGAATCGGCTCGTTGAGAACACGAAAAAATAACTGACTGTCGTATCACTGCGTGCGATGGGAGTGTACAATTTTTGGGCATTATTTTTTTCTTCTAGAGCAAAAAAAAAAGGGGGGGGGGGCATTCGTTGAATTCGGCCCGGGGATGACAATGATATTAGGTGCAAAGATATAAAGATGGTCCAATGCTTACAGCTTCGTTATCGGAGCTCGAGCCAGCGTTCGCGCTGCTATAGTCGTCGCTCTCGACCTTACACCGGATCTGCAAATATAAACAATACAGGACGAGCATTGACTTTGCAGTGATTATTGTCACACGGCGATCAATCGAACCAACCACACATACAACATTACTATTTCTACCATCACTATATATTTATGTACAGGCTTGTTGCAGTTATTAGTCGCACCACGTGCAGCAAAATCAATCGTGATCCTATATACAGATATACACAAAAAAAAACATTTAAGAAAAAAGAAAAATAAGCTCAAGCGACAAAGTGGACGATGCGTTTATTCATGTACAATTATCGAGAGAAAAAATGAAACCACGTGTAGCCGAGTACTTGTGTACACATTGGGGTGACGATGATGTCCCGAAAATTGACGAGGCGCGCGTCGCGTGGGTGTGTACATATGTATGCGCTTCGGAGAAGCATAAACAGCAAAGAGAGGGAAAAAAGAAAAAAATCGACACGAATGTGCGTGCGTTTTTCCCGTTTAAAATAATCGGGCCGATATTCGCGGCTGATGTATACCACCGGCGAGGATCTATTTCGAGGAGCCCGTAGGCGCAGGGCCGTAGACCGCTAAACTTAGCCCGGCAAATCCCCTCCCATGCCCCTCTTTAGTTGGATAACCCAAAAGGGAGGGATGGGCTTACGAAACAGCGACGCATTCTCTCTCTCTCTCCCTCTTTTTGCCGATGTATAAATCCTCTGCTGTGGCTCGACGGGACTGCAATACAGCGCACGATGTGTCTTTTTGGTGGACGCCAAACAAGTAGGCGGAACAGTCCCACTTACGTCACGAAAAAAAATCAAATATTTTTGTTTCATGGGAAAGACACCAGCTCTATTTTTTTTTTTTTTTTTTTCCACCAACGCACACACACATGG